GTGCCCACGGCACGGGAGCGCTCCTACCAGTTCAAGTACGGGACCGGACCAGTGCGTTTCGCCCACATCACTTTCCTTTTAGCTGCTAAACCCTAAAGCTCGGCGTTGCCAATGCTCGCAAGCCGGGAGTCGCCGGCCAGACCGGAAACAGGATGCGCAAATCCGGAACTGCGCCTCTCGTTCTTGGCTCTGCCCCTTCCGCTCGGAGCCGGGCATCGATTGGTCGGTGCGGCCCCCATAAGAGGCTGTGCGCAGGCGTGTGTGACCCTTTCCTCAGCTGCCGCCAAGGTGCTCGGTTCTTCCGAGGGAGCTAAGGCCGCGTTGGGGTGAGGCCCTCACTTCATCCGGCGACTAGCACCGTGCCGGCAGTCCGCAACATGGCCTCCGTCTCTGAGCTCGCCTGCATCTACTCCGCCCTCATCCTCCACGACGACGAGGTGACAGTCACGGTGAGTGTGCGGCCTGGGGCGCCGCGGGGCGGCCACGTGCGTTGCGACGGGGACCGGGCACTCGGCGAGCCGACTTGTCGGGCGCGGAGGACCGTGGCGCGCGTGCGCTGTCCTGCCCGCGCGATTCAACAGCCGTGAATGGCGGCCGCCAGCCCGCCTGTTGTTAGAGGCGAAGTGTTAGGAGTGGGTTGTCTTTCCACTTGCTCGTAAGATTCTAACTCAGGTGGTCTGGCTTATGGGGCAACCGCACTGGCCCCCGAGCCTTCAAGCCTGGCCAGTGCTTTAAGTAAGCCCAGGTATGCATGAGCTGCCCATAGAAAGCCGAAATTGACAACATGGCTGTGCAGGAGGGACCTCCGTGACTTGATTTTAACCGTTTTCTGATCGCTCGGATGGATTGGCGTTTGTCTTCCAGGAGGATAAGATCAATGCCCTCATTAAAGCAGCTGGTGTCAATGTTGAACCTTTCTGGCCTGGCCTGTTTGCAAAGGTAAGATTGGGGAAGTCCTGTATAAATGGATTTTGTGTCTTAGTTTGTGCTCACTGGTGTAGCTTTTCTATATGTCCGTCCCCAGTTTCTAACAGATTAAGTACTTGTTAACCGTGCCACTACAAGCAAATCTTGTACGTGTTAGCCCGTGTTTTGTAGAAATTGGAATTTACTGACCTGGCAAGTTTGGCGCGTGGAACAATCAAGATTCTTATAAGACAGAAAGCTACAAATGGCTTTATTTCTGGCAAGGGAGATCAACCAATTTTCGGGTCTGGAGTCAGAATTTAGAAACTTTGGAGGTCTGCCCAATACTTTTGTTGGGTTACTTAGAACAGTTGGCTAGCCATGAGAGGCTATCTGCCGTTTAAAACAGCTACCAAATAGCGGCCCAGTTCACACCGAATATCAATTTTGCTTGTATATTGACTAGTCCAGGTGCATTGGCTTGGAAAAGGCTGAATTTGCGTCATTGAAACATAAAGGACAGGTCTTAAAGGCCTTTTTTTTTTTTTTTTGCCTGTCTTTGGGACAGGGTTTCTCTGAAACTGTCTTGGAATTCGGAGATCTGTCTGTCTCCCCTTTAAAAAATCCCATGAAAGCTGTAGGTATTAAAGGGGTGCACCACCACCCAGCTTTACCTGTTTTTATTTTATGTTCATTGGGTGTCTGGATCCCTGGAACCGCAATTCCATACAGTTCTGAGTTGTCGTGTGCTGGGAATCTGAACTCTGGTCCTCTGGAAGAGTGGTCAGTGCTCTTAACCACTGAACTATCACTCTAGCCCCTGTCTGTTTCTTTTTCAGGCCTTGGCCAATGTCAACATTGGGAGCCTCATCTGCAATGTAGGGGCTGGTGGACCTGCTCCAGCAGCTGGAGCTGCACCAGCAGGTGGTCCTGCCCCCCCTACCTCT